GGACTTTCTTCTTTCTCTCTCCAGATATAATTGAGTCTAGAGAGTGGGTAAGTAAACAAGATAATACGCCGCCGGCCAAATCCAACCATCCCAGCTCTTATCTAGACTGAACCCTTAGCTAAAGGGAATTGAAAATTGACGATGGCCCGGTGGGATTGAATTCATTGATTGCTCTAGAAAACGATTGGAATAAGTGTCTGAATCTGGACGTTGTTTCTGGAGAGGTGCAAAAAACACTAATTGGTCTGCTTTTCTGCATTTCTTCCTGGAACAGGTCCTGATTCAGACACTTATTCCAATCCTCTTTGTTGCCAGTGGGATCTGGGATCTGGTCCGACGAACTGTTACTGTTGTTGTGGTATTGATTGTTGGGAGGTGAGAAGGGGGCGTGTTTCATAGTCATGCCTTAAAAAAAAAAAAAAAAAAAAAAAAAAAAAGTTTCATAGTCACGGAGACTTCTATGTTTTTTTTTTTTTTTTTTTTTTTTTTTTCTTTGCCTATGCAATCATTGTTTTGTCATTTCTGCTGCTACAGGGTGTCTTCTTCACCTGCATAGAACGCCCCAACGCCCAGTCATTATCACTGCATCTAGACTGAAAGTTGCCCCAAACACGGTTATAATGACCAGTCAAGTGCCATTTGGTCAAAATGGACATCTTTTATTTTTTTAAGTTTGAACCAAATTGGCTGAAATGGACCCAACCCCAAGAAATTCAAACCGAGTTTTTTGGCCGAAAACTTGTCCAGTCATTTGGTCAAAATGGACCCAGTCATTTGGTCAAAATGCACCCAGTCATTTGGTCAAAATGGACCCAACCCCAAAAAGTTCAAACCGAGTTTTTTGGCCGAAAACTTGTCCAAATTGGCTGCCGTGAGGGTCCGGCATTCTTAGAATGCTGGACCCCCTGGATGTATTGTGGACTTAGCTGAAGAACACATACATCCAGGGGGGACCCCCTGGATGTATCTGGTCTTAAGCTAAGTCCACAGACATCCAGGGGGTCCAGCGTTTTAAGAAATAAATAATGTCCATTTTGGACGAAATGGTAGTTAGGTGTTCTATTCGAGTGAAACCAGTAGCCTGGTTGCCAATATGCATGCTGGCTTTGGCTTAGGCTTAAGATTGTGAGAGCCGTCAAGAGAGAGAGCCTCGTGTGCTTGTAATTTTTTATTTTTATTTTTATTTTTGTGCGTGTAATTTGAGTTCCTCCTGAGAGGTTTGCTTGCAGATTGAGAAACCTGCAGAAACCAAATCCACATAAAATGATAAAATCGAGAAGTTTTTTTTTTGGGGGGGGGGGGGGGGGGGGGGTTTGGGGGGGGGAGAAGAAACGGGGGGAAATCAAAATGTATGAGACCAACAGTCACCAACTCAAGGAGAACCTTGTTTGAAAGGAGGTTTTTTTTTTTCTCTCTTTTTTTTGGGGGTGGAGGGGGGGTCAATAATTTCAGTTTATCAACATGATATTATCCACTGTAAAATCATTGGCGCTACCAGTACTCCTGATGTTTTTGATGCCTGTCTAATGTTTTTTTTTTTTTTTTTTTTTTTTTTTTTTTGGGTGTGGTTTTCTGTTGAATGAATTTGAAACATCACTGCAAATAACACCAGTGATCTGGACTATCCCCTGAGGGACCTGGACTTTTCAGTTAAAAAAATAATAATAATAAATCAATTGTTCGGCAGAGGCCTGGAAAGGGACACATCTTGTGCAAGGTCCCACTTGCCCGAGTTCTTTGTTCCCACCCACATATCTGCATCATTAAATCTAAGCTCAGAGACAAAGAATCTGGGTGCATGGGGACCTGTCTCCTGGTGGATGAGTGGTTGTTATTTCTGACCGCTAGCAGTTATTTTAACAGTCGGCAGTTTTTTTCACGGCCGGTCGTTTTTTTTACTGCCAGCAGTGAAAGGGCCATGTCCGTCTATTCATACATCAGATCAATGAACCCAGACAGTGGTGTGGATGGGGCCAAAGCAGAGCAGATGCAGGGGTACCTTGGTTTGACTGTTGGGTGAGGGCTGAAGATGAAATTAAATGTGACTAAAGGGGTGGGTCGTGCGGGCGGGGGAGGAGGAGGGGGGGAGGGAGGGACCGAAGAAAGGAAAACAAAAATGGAAAATTGAAGCAGTAACCGCAATTTCAACTTTTCCCGGAAAAAAAATAAAATAAAAAAAATAAAAAAATCAACTTTTTTAATTTCCAGAATAGGTTGAATAACCTTTCTATTGGTGGGGTGTCTGCTCTTATCAGCACCACTAGCACTACAGGGGCAGGGAAAAAAAATTAAAAAAAATAAAAATAAAAAATTGAATAACCTTTCTATTGGTGGGGTGTCTGCTCTTATCAGCACCACTAGCACTACCGGGTCGGAAAAAAAAAAAAAAAAAAAAAAAAAAAAAAAAAAAAAAAAAAAAGAATAACCTTTCGATTGGTGGGGTGTCTGCTCTTATCAGCACCACTAGCACTACGGGGTTGAATAACCTTGGATGGCTGCAAAGCGGGGTACAAGTTCCGCATAATTATAAAAGTGCCCAGTTTTATAGGTTTATGCTTTGCCGGGCTTCTTACAGTAGTTAAAAAGAAAATATCCAGCCTCCTTCGCCAAGGCCCGCTTATCGGGATTTTCTGTTTGTGGCCATTGACCCTTGTGATCTACCGTCCGGAACCAGGGAGGAGAATCAGGAGATATATAGGCAAGTGGGACCTCGCCCCTGGAATGACAGCAAGTAGATGTCAGAAAACTTGAAAAAAGTCAGGATTTTTTTTTTTCAAGGTCAAATTTTGCTTGTGATTGCCTTATTATCAGAGAGATTTTTTTTTTCATTCCTCTTTTCTGTTCCTCCCCCCCCCCCACCTCCCCCCTCCTCCTCTCAACCCCTGAGCCTTATCTTATCTGTACTTTATGGCCCAAAAACTTTGGCAAATTTGGCATCAACGGTGCAGGAAGCAGCACTGATGGAGCTGGAGGGACGTCTAGCGGAAACAGACGCGGAGCGGAGAAGTGCGCAGGTTAGAAAAAAATCCTTTCTTTGACCTGTCCAAAATACACAAGTCCAAAAAATCCTGCCTTTTTTCACCCATTAAACCACCAGTACCTTTGTCGGTTCGAAATTACTCAGCCTCCGACCTTTCAGGAGGCCGAAACGAAACGACGGCCGCCGATCAGATTGATCAACGTCGGGCTCGGCCTCCTGAAAGTTCGGGTACTGGCCAGGACTTGTCGAAACCGGACGCCAAAGGCACTAGTGGTTTAACAGTACACAGGTTAGAAAAATGTGAAATTGGCTTGAAAAGTCCTTTCTTTGACCTGTCCAAAAGTGCTTAGGTCTGAGAAAGCTCGTCTTTCAGACTTTCACCCATCAAAGAGCACACAGGTTAAAAATTGCCAAAGAGGTTTGTGAAAGGTCTTTTCTTGGACCCATCAGAAAATTCCCAGGTCAGGAAAATCCCGCCTTTCACCGATCATCAAGAGCACACAGGCTTGGCGAATCCAAAATAAGTCCAAAATTTTGTTTCTTTGACCCATCTAAAAGTGATTCAGGTCCTAAAAGATATGTCTTTGACCAGACACATGCACACAGGTTTCCAAAAAAAAAAAAATTGCCCCCCCACAAGCGTGCAGGTTTGACAAATCCCGTCTTTTACTCATGATAAAGAGTGCACAAGTTTGAAAATTCCTTTCTTTGACTCGTTGAAAGCGCACAGGTCTTAAAAATCATTTCTTTGACCCATCAACGCCTTCCATGCCAAGCACCTCAGCTCCTCATTGTCATGTCAAGACCTATGATTCCGTCTAACTTTTTTTTTTTTTTTTTTCCCATCTAAATAGCTATATCATTTGCAACACTGAATAGCAAGTTGTTTGACCACAGCATGTCTATTTTTAGTAGCTGAACAGTGACGTATACGTATCAGACCAAGCGTCCAACTTGTCCAACATTTTGGTCAAGAGATCTGGCCCCATGGAGTGGGCCCGCCCTCTATTATATACACCATGACTCCAAGGTACCTCAAGGGCTGTGTTGCATTCTGCCATCGAAGTCCCGGTGGTGTGACGACGGGTGCAGGGGCCCCTGTGGTTGTCGTCCACCAACTTTTTTTTTTTTGAAAACCAGCGACCACTATTAGAGCAACCAATTGTCTTATTCCAATTAATTCTCATTTCATAAGCGAGTTGGAAAGCTTCCATTGCCCTCGTCAACGCTTGAAAGGAAGAGTCAGACACCTGTACCAGGACTGCAAGGTCATCAGCAAGACAGAAATCAGCAAAAACAAAGCAACCTGCCCGGCACTATTACTTGGTGCACGGGCTGGTCCGGGGGGACCACCAGCTTTAGATGCAGGAATGCTTTCGCAGAAGGTGCAGAGAGGAAGCGGTTCAGTTGAACCTGTCCCTAAGCATCATTATAAAGGACTGCTTTTTTTTTTTTTTTTTTTTTTTTGAAAGGACTCTGACCCATCATGTCCTAAAGATGAAAGAGAAGAGAAGAGATGTCGTCAACAGACTGACACAACACATGACCGCGCTGACCACGGCTGAGCATGTGGATAAACAATCTCGAAAATAGACTCAATCAAAACAGAGTGAAGCACCGAGTCAAAACAGATGGTCCATAGCCAAAGCTACGGAACAGTCCTCCCCGCCCCGACCGATAGATCCAAGTCAAGTTCCGCAGAGCGCGAAGGCTGGCGCACTCTCCCTATTATGCACTATTGTTGAAAAAAAAGTCCAATTGACCTGGTGGTAAGGTTTTTTTAAATGGAAAAACAGAACTGCAGCGTTCATTCTCTTGCCTGTTATATACCGTACAGAGTCTACAGACTCTTTCAAGGTCATGACGTTGTCCAAAATGAAGCGGCTCGGAATGAAATCAGTCTGGAAGCAGTTTTTTCAACTTTTTTGTGATTTTACGAAGTCCGTGGGCGAGAAGTTTCGCCAAAATCTTATATGTCATTGGTAGTAGCGTAATCGGCGGCGGTAATTTCTAATGTATGTCGGATCCCCCTTCCCGTAGAGGAGCATCACCACTCCTGTACTGGTTGCTTTCCCTAGCCCTTCATTAAACCACCAGTACTTGGCCCAGCTATCGATGCCGAGCCGGGATACCCCCTGCGCGCCAAGTTTTGCCAAAAGCCGCCAGGGCACCGTTTCGTTTTCATTTTGGCTGGCGCTTCCAGCCGTTGTGGTTCGGTGCCATGAAGCCCGCAACGTTAACGTGAAATGCGCGCAGCTGATAGCTGGGCCAAGTAGTGGTGGTTTAACATTTCCAACTGCCAAGAAATCGCAGTACTCGGTTTGAAAGGACTGTCCAAAATCGCAGCCAAAATTCTTTAGACGACCCATCACAGTCGGGAGTTTTATTGGCTTTCAGAGACTGCAGCGCTTCCATTATCTCTTTCCTGTGTGATAGGCTTGTAGACAATTTCCGCATGTTGAGGGGTGATCGTCTTGTCTAGGTAAGAGAGGAATTTTGTTGTTGTTTCTCTCACTTGAACTGTCGGGTAGGTCGATTCTTTAGAGGTGTACAGATTTCGATAAAAGTCCGCCGCCACTTGCAACATCTCGATGGGGTCGAACATCGGCCGTTCTCCCATCTCTCAAGTGCTCTATCCTGGCATTCTTTTTTTTTTTTTTTTTTTTTTTGGGGGGGGGGGGG